CATTTGCAGGAAAATGTAATATCAGTATCACACACAAAAGGAAAAACTAAACTCACTGATGAAAATTGTAGGGAAAAAATGTCAGAAATCAAAATTGGTTGCGACTATTACAGCACTGAAACAAGAAAATAAGAATCGCACTGTCTACTGTTACAGCAGCCGTAATCAGCACTAACTGTGCTAGTGCTACGGCTGTGCCTTTTGAGCATGCGCATTCATGTTTGGGTTCCTGTTTCGCATTCTACAAAAATATCTGGCGACGTGAATATGCAACCTAACCAGTAAGGTTAGGTTGGTTTGGTTAGGCTAGGTTAGGATATTTTGGTTGGGCTAGGTTGCTTAGGATAGGTGGTTAGGTTATTGGTTAGGTTAGGTAAAGTAAAGTAAAGTAAAAGGTAAAGTAAAGTAAAGTAAAGTAAAGTAAAGTAAAGTAAAGTAAAGTAAAGTAAAGTAAAGTAAAGTAAAGTAAAGTAAAGTAAAGTAAGTAAAGTAAAGTAAAGTAAAGTAAAGTAAAGTAAGTAAAGTAAGTAAAGTAAAGTAAGTAAAGTAAAGTAAAGTAAAGTAAAGTAAAGTAAAGTAAAGTAAGTAAAGTAAAGTTAGTTAGGCTAGGGTAGGGTAGGGTAGGGTAGGGTAGGTTAGGTTATAAGTTGGAAATGGGGAAAAGGCCTCATCGAACGTAAGTAATAGTCAAAATGACCAGGTTATGCGTATGCGCAGTGGAATGCCGTAACTCTAGAATATGGACAAGGGAATACGGCTGCCGTAACTCTATTCTGTGACAAAAAGACTCGCAAGGCTGAGTTGATGTGCAAGTAATAGCAAAGCCAAACATATTTAATTCCCATGTTTCTATACGAACCCTAAATAAACGGAATATACTTACCATAAGTCCACAAAGACTGTTATTGGATGAATTTGTTTCATTCAAGAATACAAAATAAAGACGTAGTTAGGTACAACCAGCATTACAACATCTAGCATAATTACACTAGGTTTGAGCAAGTTCTGCTGAAAATCCGCTAAATGCTAAGAATTGTAAAAGCCGTGTCACACTTGGACTTTTATCGGCATTACTTTTCCGCTGGCCAAAATTTTGGCTCGCGGTCACACGTGATGAGAACCACGGAAACAGTCCACTCTGTCTTCTATGAATTTATATTGGTGAAAAAAAAACTTCTAGGGGTAACTAACCCAAAAATATTACTCCAACAAATCAATTTCTAATTATCCTTTTATATTGAACTGTGTAATCAATAAGCATGCATGAATTTACCCCTTAATTAACTTTATTCATCTAGTTACTATTAAGGAATAGTGGAGACTTAGCCATGCAATAATTGACTTTCAGAGATATCCTCTGTCTCGCGTCAGCTCTCAGACTACCGCTCTCGGTATCACGAGCGAGCGGCTCAGTGACGTCACAGTCATGAGTCTACCGTCGTCTGATTGGTCCTACGAGTCTTACGTCAACCTTACGTAGTCTGACGTCATGCTCGTCCAATTCCTCGTCGCTGATTGGATAGCGGCTCGTGCTCTAAAACTTAAGCGTTACAGACACTCTGTTCTCTCAGCCAATCAAAACTCAGTTTTGCAGTCTCTCACACTCTCATTGGCATGCCAGTACGTCAGTGAGTCTAACAGTCTCTACTTTCCTCGGTGCCTGCAATAGTTGCCGTACACTTCCAGAATGCTGCGATACTGACAATTTATTTAAAGTACATAGAATACAATACTATTATTAATCCTTCTCGCTGCTACCATATGCTATGGGGGTCATTGTTACCCCAACATAAATCTTCGTTATTACTTTACTCTAGTAAGTTAATCAAAGGTTATCTCAGATAGTTTCAATAATATTTTTGATCATTAAAACTTCAGATCAGTATGGCATCATTCTGATTCATCATTCACTATTTCTGGAAACCTTAAAATGAATTAAATTACTCTATTTCACATATATCTCGATATCATTGATATTTTCACTCACATATATCATTATTCTTCAAGACATGGTTCTTATTTAATAGATATTGTATTTCTCGTGTCGATGTACTTCAAGTGATTTAATTAGTATAAGTGTTGTTTCTTTTTGTTTCGTGTACCACTGTGTTCAACCCAACCAGTATCTCTGTGGTGTGGTTCCCTCCTTTGTTCAGTGTCCTATTATGTAGGAATGACAAAATGGGATAATATTAAACAGTGTGTGTGAAAAGAACTTATACATTTATTAAGTAATATACTTACAATTTGACCATAGTTCCTAGGCCCGCCGTCCGCTAACTTCGGGGAAAAGACGAACTGGAATCTACATTTAACTTCACCCTAATACTAGAATTAATTTCTAGTTAGTTAAGCTAGTTTTGACGGCTAATCACGCCGTATTCTTCAAATGAGTTCCAGGAGTCAACACCGATTCACCTTCACTCAATGATGTTTCAACCTGAACTGACTTCAGGAATTTTAGACCTAGGGGTGCCAGGTCATCTAGACAGAGGCCTGGTTGTTCGGTTGTATGGATGCTGAGGTGGCACTTTGAGAAGTGGTTGATCAACCAATTAACGCTGACTGTGGAGATGCACCGATGACCTGTTCTTCTGATGTGGCATTCAACAGTGTTGCCGACAAAGAGGACACAGTTGTAATAGTCTCTACTGGGGTTTACACCCTTTGCTGGGAAGGCATCCATCATTTTAGGGAGCCTTAAGCAGAAGGACGAGAGACTCAAAAACGGAACCTCGATTTTAATCAGTGGGTTACCGTTGGGAGAGAACTGTATCGTTATCCCTGTGGTAGCCAAGGCAGAAGATGTGAAAGTCTTGGTCTGCAACTTCGGTCGCACACCGTTTCTTGGTTCATAGCAAGAGAAACCATTGCCAATGCTGTGTCTATCCAAGATGATGAAGAGGAGCAGCTGGGACGTTTACCGACCGACCACTGGGAAAAACAACGAGTTCTCACAAGGATGAGCATCAATGCCGTGGTCACTGAGGTGAAACCGGATGATGTAGAGGAAGAGGATCCCCTGGATCAAGCTCTTCAAATTGATCCATGTTGTGTGGTGAAAAACGGGCCAGTGTATGATGAGAAGCGCTTCCAGAAACTTCTGAAAGCACTGGACGCTGATCGCTGGATCCTGAAGGAAGACCAACGCAAAGCAGCAGAGTCCATGATATGGGAATTCAACCTTAAAGAGGAACCTTTAGGAAGAACCAATCTTGTTGAGCACAAGATAGAGACAGGCGACAGTGATCGAGTATATGTTCCACCTAGGTTCATCCCATATGCTCTACGACCTGCTGTGGAAGCAGAGGTCCAGGCTCTGAAGGAGCAAGGCCATATTCGAGTCAGTTCTTCTGAATGGAATGCACCAATTGTTCTAGTGAAGAGAAAGGACAAATCGCATCCTCGGCTCTGTGTAGATTACCGGGCTTTGAACAGCCAAACCAAGCTTGAGTTCTACCCTTTGCCACTGATAGAAGACATCCTGTACCAAGTCAGCCAGAGCAAGTGGTTTTCGACGCTTGACTTGCGTAGCGGGTACCATCAAGTACCACTGGATGACGACTCAATACCGAAGTCAGCCTTCACCACCCATGAAGGACATTTCGAGTACACAGTGATGCCGTTTGGTCTGTCTAATGCACCTCGAACGTTCCAACGCCTCAACGTTCCAAAATTCATAGGACCGAGTCTTCAGTGGCCAAATCGGACAAGGGTTGCAGTTGTTCTTAGACGACATAGCTATATACACGGATGATATTGATAGGCATCTACAGGTACTGAAGGAAGCACTGGGTCGGTTGATAAAGGCTGGACTAAAGGCTAGTCCTGAGAAGACACGATTATTCCAACAAGAAATAAACCTTTTAGGGCATCGTGTAGGGCATGGGGAAGTTAAAGCGGCGCTAGACAAGTTAGCTGCTGTAAAAGACTTTCCCACACCCAAAAATCGACGTGAAGTAAGACGATTTCTTGGTCTAACTGGGTATTACAGACGATTCATAGAGAAATATGCCCAAAAGGCCCAACCTCTTACAAAGTTGACCTCAGAGAAACAACCTTTCATTTGGGGAAGTGAACAAGAGGAAGCATTTGAAGTGCTGAAGAGAAGTCTACTAAAGGAGCCAGTGTTGAGATCCTGACTTCTCACGAACGTGGTACATCTCTACTGATGCCAGTAAGGGAGCTATTGGTGCCATTTTAGCACAGAGGTATGACGGACACTTTTGCCCTGTGTCATATTTCAGTCGCCAGCTTCGAGGAGCTGAGCTTCGCTATGATGTGATGGAGAAAGAAGCGCTCGCTGTAATCGAGGCTTTGAAGAAGTTTAAACCTCTTATATGGGGATTAGAAGTGATTGTCATGTCGGATAATCGCTCTTTGCAGTGGCTTTTCCACAAAGCTAAGGATGGTAATGCACGTGTCACCAGATGGGCCTTAACTGCTCAGTCTTTCGGCGCTAAAATTCTGTACCATCCGGGAAAGCTGAATGCTGCAGCTGATGCACTATCTCGTATTGAAGCACCAGAAGGAGTGGATCCTGAAGATATTGAGAAAGCATCAACGATGATAATCGATGAAGCTCAAAACTGCCGGATATTGATGGCAGTAGTAGCCAATAATCTTGGAGGGAAAACAAGACAAGATGAACAGGAAGATGATGAGGAAGATGGTCACCCTTGGTCTATCGATGAAATGATCCGGGAACAAAACCAAGATCCTTTATACTCACCTGTAATCAAGTACTTGCAGACGAAGAACCTTCTCGACAAGAGGAAAGTGGACCCGAACTTGGTGGTAGAAGATTATTTCCTTGATCAAGGGCTCCTCTACAAACAAGTCAGGACACCTAATTCAGCGCGAGATATAAAGGAAGTGCTGTGTGTGCCTAGAACACTAGTTCCGAAAGCTTGGCACTTGTACACTTAGCACCACTAGGAGGTCATGGTGCTGAGGAGAGGACCAAGTTTAGGGCGAGACAAAACTTTACTTGGCGTGGTATGGACAGGGATATAGCTGAGTATTGCAGGAAGTGCATTACTTGTGCGAAGTTTAAGGGGCGTGCACACCCACTGACTCCCTTAAGAAGATATCCTGTTCCACTGGAACCTTTCCAAATGGTTTCGATGGATCTGATGGGACCTTTCCCTCTGACCGAGCGAGGAAACCAGTATATCTTGGTAATAGTGGACTTTTTGACACGATTTGCCGTTGTCAGAGCCTTACCCAACAAATATGCTGAGACCGTAGCTGAGGCTGTAAGTGAGGTGTTTGCAGACCTCGGGATTCCTCAGACGGTATTAACGGACCAGGGACGCGAATTTAGGAATGAAATCCTGAAGGAGATGGCGAAGCATATGCAGTTTCAGCATCATAAAATTACTGCATACCATCCAGCGTCCAATGGACTCTGTGAAGACCAATCAGCAAGTTCTCAATATTCTACGAGGGATGGTGGACGGAAAAGATCAGTACTGGGATCTTTACCTAAAGGACACCCAAATGGCTTTAAATTCTGCTTACCACAAAGCAATTGGCGATACGCCGTATTACGCCATGTACAACCGGGACCTGAAGACTTCAGACCTTTGGGGACCAGACCCACAAGTTTTGGAGGTCCACCTGATGAGGATTTCATAACTGCAAGGACTCAACGGTCCAAAGAGGTGTACGAATATGTACGAGACAACTTGCTAAGAGCAGCAGATGAACAGTGTAGGATTCGCCAGAAGAAATCCAAAGACACTACAGTACTGCCTGGGATGAGAGTTTTCATCAAGGCTGTGAAGAAGAAGGGTGACAGCAAATTATCTCCCCGCTGGGAAGGACCCTTCCGAGTCGTTGAGCAAATACGACCATATGTCTACAGGATTAAACACCTACAGACAAAAAGATGAAGGAAGTTCATCTCGAGAATATGAAGATCGCGCTGGGCCAGTATTCCGAGATCGCTAGCCCCAGAAGCAAGAAGACCTTATCCACAGGAGACACATTCAGATATTAGACCTGAAGGTACATCCGAAGAAGAAGAAGCACGTGAAGAAGAGTATGTCATGAACTTCCCAACGAATGACGATGGAAAAGGAACTTCAGAGAGCAACCAAGATTGGGCTCAAGAGTCAAGTGAGGTAGATGACCTAGCACAAGATGTAGTTGCAGAGATTCCAACAATGCTGATAAAGCTAATGTTTCGAATAATGTTAATGTGTTACCTAGTATGAATGTTGATGAGTCTGATGGACTACAAACCACTGATTCTTATAATATTAGGCATGACACAAACACTAAAGACCTTTCACCAAACCAGAGGTTGCAACTAATGATGCGAGTGCAAGTACTGAGAGTGAAAAAGTAACAATAAAACTGTGCATGATGAGTTGAGTGAGCATGGTAGACGTACCAGTGGACGCACGAGATATCCACCGGGATACTATACTAGGCTGCATGAAGGACCGCAGGATTAATCAACCACACCACTAACAAACGGACACAAACAACACTAATCAGCTAATTAGATTAAGGGGGGGACAGGATGGTCACCAACATTGTTTAAAAGTGTTCTATATTGCAGATAGATGGTTGAAAATTGAAGAGAATGATGCGGATAGCACTGATTGTTCCATATTGATTGTCTGAACCTTCTTACGACCCGTAACCTCAAGATGAGCGTAGATAGTCGGAACCAAAGGAACACCTGATGTTGGGTTGTTAGACTATGACCTGACAGCCCGGGAGAAGAGTATTCCGTAACAGAGAAGATTAGCAAGAACCAGATACAACTTCCTGCACATTGAGAAAGCAGCACACCTTGCAAGTGTATCGTTTCTTTGCTAGACAATTTGGAGGAAACTCTCGGTGTTCCAGAAAGTAATTGGTTGATTATGTAGGGTTGAAGGGCGGTGGTGAGTAGGCAAGTTTCTTAACTTTTTGAGTTGGACGATCGAGTTTGCACTAAAATTAGAGGATGGAGTAGGATTATTTAGTCATCCTGTAAGTAGAATTATATTTAGCACGTTTGTAAAGTAATTTCGGATATCATGTGTTAGATGTATGTGATGAAATCCCTCTAATCCAAAGGTATCGAGATGATAAGTAAATGAACAGTTAACTGATTGAGCAATATTAAAGGAGTCAGTTCACGGGTTGAAACAGGCCATTGCGTTGATCGAAGAAGGTAATGCTGTTCTGGTTAGCCGTACAGAGCATCGTTATGTTATTGTACAGTCACATTATCAAGGGAGTTTGCTGTAGGACCTATTTTAGTCCTTTGCCTAGTAGTCATCTCGGTATGGTTTTGGAGGAGGTTATAGGGGAATCTGTAAGGAGTTGGCTGCTCTGATGTACATGAGCGTTAAGCCCGATAGATGCACACCCATAGCGATTCGCGGTCACTCGAGGACGCGTGATTTAAGCGGGGGAGTATGTCATCGGCCAGAAGCAGTGACACTCTAATTTGCCATTATTAATGCATTTAATTGGTAAATCGTAACGCTTGATTAGTTATGATGATATAAAATTCTAAGGGAATAAAACACAAAAATAGAGTTTGGGGTAGTGAGGCTGTAGTTGTAGGTTGTGTTTATGTTAGAGGTGAAATACTTGTGGACGATCTTGGTGGTTACTTTAACTCGAGATAAGGGCCAAAATACCAAGTCGCCTTCTCAAAGTGCCACCTCAGCATCCATACAACCGAACAACCAGGCCTCTGTCTAGATGACCTGGCACCCCTAGGTCTAAAATTCCTGAAGTCAGTTCAGGTTGAAACATCATTGAGTGAAGGTGAATCGGTGTTGACTCCTGGAACTCATTTGAAGATACGGCGTGATTAGCCGTGAAAACTAGCTTAACTAACTAGAAATTAATTCTAGTATTAGGGTGAAGTTAGCTGTAGATTCCAGTTCGTCTTTTCCCCGAAGTTAGCGGAAGGCGGGCCTAGGAACTATGGTCAAATTGTAAGTATTATTACTTAATAAATGTATAAGTTCTTTTCACACACAGTGTTTAATATTATCCCATTTTGTCATTCCTACATAATAGGACACTGAACAAAGGAGGGAACCACACCACAGAGATACTGGTTGGGTTGAACACAGTGGTACACGAAACAAAAAGAAACAACACTTATACTAATTAAATCACTTGGAGTACATCGACACGAGAAATACAATATCTATTAAATAAGAACCTATGTCTTGAAGAATAATGATATATATGAGTGAAAATATCAATGATATCGAGATATATGTGAAATAGAGTAATTTAATTCATTTTAAGGTTTCCAGAAATAGTGAATGATGAATCAGAATGATGCCATACTGATCTGAAGTTTTAATGAACAAAAATATTATTGAAACTATCTGAGATAACCTTTGATTAACTTACTAGAGTAAAGTAATAACGAAGATTTATGTTGGGGTAACAATGACCCCCATAACATTATCATTTGAACCAAAATAGATCACGGAAGCTTGCCAGCGAAAACGATAATTGTCGTTTGACTGGAATTTATCGCATTCACCTAAAATACAAGCGGTAGCGAGAGAAGAATCACGGAAACGTGAAAGAACCACGGAAATTGTGCTAGTGTGACACCCCCTTTACTCATTCAAATAAGCCATATAATTCTTATATAGTACTTCATTATATTGATTAGTTCCTTTTCTTCTGAATATAATTTATTGTTCCAGCATACCTTTCATATCACAAGGTGTCCTCAAACGAAACCTACAAAATGCTGTATTTTACTGCTAGTAGTCACACGTTTTTGATAACTAGTAAAGCATGCCAACGATTTCTGAAAATTCGGGAATATATTGATCTCATTTAAACTGAACGGAAGTCCCCACTCCCGACGACGCCCGCCAAAGAAGAAAAAACATTATTTTCAATAAATTTCATTATTCCCCCAAAACTATGATTTGATGACTTGAGAAGCTGTTCTCTGGTCATGCGGTGTAGCGAATGAAAAGAGTCATAATTACGCAAAAGAACTTAGATGATTTGATGACTGAAAAGTTGTTCTCTTCTTTAGATGGTTAAATGGTTGAATGCGTTTGGCGGAATCTAATATATCAAATGTTATGTGATTTTAATGTTTCTATATTAACTTGGCTTATAATAACTTATAAATAAAATCTGACTCCATGCGTTCACTTGAGCTTTTCTGCATTATGCGCTTCGTTCTGGACCAACACATTTAAGGGCTGTCAGCTTTTCTGCAGCAGCATTTCTGCTATTCTGTAAACATCAGATGATAAAGAATATATATATATATATATATATATATATATATATATATATATATATATATATATATATATATATACTATTGGACCAAACGGATGAATATTAGATTAGTTACAGTGCGTAGGATCACGTTACTTGTTTGTTACACTACATAAAAAAATATAAAGTAATTACATTACGAAATCAGTAATGTAACATTCAATAACATTAAATGCGCCATTATGTTGGCGGCCATTCTCGCCCTGCTCGTCACGAACGCTTCGCGAAACGTTTTGTAACGTCAACCGTTCATTTGATTGTGCCACGTGACACCATGTGTGTGTGTGTGTGTGTGTGTGTGTGTGTGTGTGTGTGTGTGTGTGTGTGTGTGTGTGTGTGTGTGTGTGTGTGTGTGTGTGTGTGTGTGTGTGTGTGTGTGTGTGACTCTGCCTTTGATGATACCTCGCTCGAACAGCTGAATCCGCGATGATCAGTCTGCCACATCATATCAGTTCATACTAGGATGGTTTCAGCAATTTTCATGGTTAATCTATTTGATCATGGGAAAAAATCTAATTATTCTAAACACGTTTCTTTGGCATCAAAAACATCTGTAGTCATACAACACAAAAATACAGCCTTTGAAAAAAAAAAAAACCGTAGTAACGTCGCCATCCGTCGGTCATCTTTTGTTTACGTTTAGGAGACGAATTTCCGTAGAATTCCAGCCTGTTTTATAGAGAGACGGTTTTACCGCGCGATGCACCTGTCCTGCTGATTATCGTAAACAACCTGCCCTTCATGTTGAGACTTTTCGAGAGAAAGAGAGGAATTATTTTCCTGATTCAGAGTGTAAGGTGTCGAAACTGATGAAGACGTTTTCTGCATCACACACACTAATAACTAACACAGACACAAAGGTAAAATGAAATAGATGTTGCACTTCAGACGTACTTGTTAGGCTATATGTTGGCGGCCACTCTCGCCTTGTTCTGTCACGCAACGCCTCGCGAAACGTTTTGTAAAGTCAACCGTTCATTTGATCGTGCCACATGACGCCATGGTGTGAAAGCGGCCAAAAATGGATACTATTCTTTTCCGACTGACCCGCCCACTTGGTACCTGATAATTAAACAAATTTTAGTGACAGGCTAAATCTCGCGGCTGAATAATACACCTGTTAATTTTAGGTTTTCAAAATAACCTTTTAAAAAAACATAAGTTGCTTTTTTGCGGGAGACATTCTTAAAATCAGTAGTAATACAGTGATAATTAATGATACATCAATATGCTTATCTTTTGATTCATGATTTAAGGCCATTATCTCCTTTTATTCCAAACCCCGTACACGAACTCTTCGCGTTCGGGTTTTGATGCCGGACGCGTCAGACTCATGACGTCATAGTTCGTGGAGGCGGAGCCATATCATCTAGCTGAGAATTAGCTCAGCTCCCTGCTTCTGCGCATGCGCGACACTGTTTCGTCGCCTGAGCCCTTCAATGCCCGCCAACTCCAGTTCGATAGATGCCAGTTAGGTTGCATATTTTCAAGAACCTATGCAAAATGCTCTGCTGGATATGCGAATCACAAATACCATTTGCTCACTAAAATAATTGAAATATCTATCTGTATAAATATTCTTAAAGAAAATACCATTTACAAGTATTAAAAAGAAAACAACTTTACTGCCATCGGCACCATATCCAGATGTAAACAGAGAGAGAGAGAGAGAATGATGGAGAGAGAGAGAAAATGATGGAGAGAGAGAGAGAGAGAGAATGATGGAGAGAGAGAGAGAGAGAATGATGGAGAGAGAGAGAGAATGATGGAGAGAGAGAGAGAGAGAAAGTCAAAACACTTAATTCCATTATTTGCAATGGATCATTGTTCATGTGCATGGCAGTGTACAGTAATACAAACTAAATGAAGATAATATCAAGTTCATTCGTAGGGGAATTATAAAATAAGATAAAATAGATTGGCCGCATAATTAGAA